ATTGACCAAGCAGAAAGCTGCTTAGACGCTTATTCGATTCTTAGGAAAGGTCGAAATTTTCTAAACCGGTTGTCGTCTCTCGAGGACCGAGGACCGAGGACCGAGGACCGAGGACCGAGGACCGAGTACTACTTACATACCTACCGTTCACGGTCTCTATACGTATGTATAGTTTCTTTGCTATTTATCGACTAAAGTAACCTAACCTCTCTTGATAATATCCGAACGATAATCGAAATATTATTACAATCTGTCGTTTGCTCCGTCGACGTTTCGATAACACTTTTCGGTATGTTAAAATCTTTCGCGACGATTCCTTTGTTCGTGGCCGATTCGATCGCGAATTCTCAAAGAATAAAATGAGAAATTGGAGTCGATGGTGTATGGTCAGGAGGAGCACATCGTGCACCGCATTCTAACGCGATCAAATAACGAAACCCTATAGAGTAGAGGAAGCTAAAAATGGTTTTTGCGCTTTTTGCCCTCGTAATGAAAATTCATTCTGTTCGTGGAGGATCTCCCGGCAACGAATATACGTAACATCGGGCGCCGCGCTAGTGGGAGAAGAGTAACGGCCGATAATGAGCGGTTCCCGGCTGTTGGAAGCGTTAAATTGATTTAAATCGCAGAAACGCGTGTAGATTGGAAGAAAAAAAGAAACGGAATTTCAAACTGGCAGCTGGTACACGAGGAAAACGGTAAAAGTGCCGATCGCAAGAGATTTCATAGCATAGAGTAATTTCATACCTCGAGGATTGAAATTTCAAATAGCCAGAGTTTCGAGACTTTGTCGGATAAATCATTATGCCGTCCGTCCGTTCGAGGAAGCCACGAATTGCTCGCGCGCGGTCTCGTTAAATTTAATCAGACCACTTACGTAATTTGCTGTCTACCCGCATTACATATTACAAGATGAACATCAAGAGGGGACTCGGAGAGTTGGAAGGTTCAGTAGTTTCAAGGATAAGATCCTGATAGTCGAGACGTCGACGTAACCCGTTACCGTTGCATTCTCCTTCAATTGCGTTTTCATCTAAGCGATTCTCCTTTAATTTTTTTAATCGTTCGATTCATTCGTTTCTCCATTCATCTTCATCGATGCTGTATTTACCACATACGTATAAACGCGATTACGAATGGTTCCCGATCGATTTTAAATTTACACTGTTCGTAAAAACACTCTCAGAACGAAATTGTACATTGTTTCGTGTAGGCGATTCGCAACTGAAAATTCCCACCTCGTCGTGATCTTGAGCACAATTCGGACGACAATGGTAATCTACGTGTGCTTTATGTTACTCGGATAATAACGCGTTCTCGAACGCGAGCAAGACGAAACGTGGCACGTCTCCCTTTGAATTTCTCTTCGACGCGACGCGACGCGACGCGACGCGACGTGACGCAGCAGCCTTTGTTTTCAGGAACGAGTCCCAGCGGAGACTAGACCTCGCTGAAAATATTTTCAACATCGAACGGATACTCACGACATGCCCAATACCAAAGGAGAACTCGAATCCGCTCTCGAATCGTATCTCGCTGATTAAAATCGAGAGAAGAGAGGGTTCGATTTATAAAAAGAAATTAAAAAGCAAATTACCTATCGCAGGATCGCGTGTTTAAATCTTATCCAGGCGCGCAATCGCATCAAGTATGCTGGAAGCACTTGTAGACGATTCGCTCGCTCTGTCTGTCTGTTTGCCTGCCTGCCTGCCTGCCTGCCTGCCTGCCTGCCTGTGTAGGTTCGCAGAGGGTTAATAGCAATTTGTGACACGTAATCCTTGGCCCTGTGCGTAAGCGCGCGACACTCGGAGAAACAGAAAAGCAAAGCCGCGTCGTACATACGTGTCTAGTAGCAGATTCGCTACAAAGGTATATGCCGTATCTGTAGTACGTGTAACGGGTGGATCTAACTAGTCGGACTTGCAACGGCTAACCGCCAACTCACCAACTAACGATTCCACGTATCTAAGTACCGTGTAGGGATTAAATCTCGAAAATCGTACGTATTTAGGACGAAACGAGGACTATCGGTGACATTGTCGCGATCGAAAAATACGTTTAGTTGGTTTGCCTTTTTACAAGATACGCTAGATATCGTAGTAGTTGAACGAGATTATCGCGTGCATCGGTAACGTAGTTACTATCGGATCTATGTTCCGTTCGCGATGGCGTGTGACCATGTTTATCGCGAAATACATACGTATGTACTTACATGTATGTATGTAGGTCTGTGACGCGCAACGTCTCGGGATTTGGTGAGGTAGCGCGAAGGGCGGCTGCTGGCAAAGCGTTTTCTTCGATAGTAGCTATCACGAAATTCCGATGGCCAGGTTACGCTCGAAAGGCGAGGAGCATGCCCATGATGCGGAAGCATGAACCGGCTGAGCGCGTGTCCGACATTGCCATGCTATTATCGCCGTAGGTTTCCACTCCAAGATGTTACGTTTCCCCGAAGGCATCATCGGATCATTGAATTTCTGTGCTTTAGCCACGATTTGCCCGTCAAACGGATCGCAACGTCCCAAAACTTCCACCGATCGTTCTTCGGGTACAATATTTCTTCTATCAGGAAATTCTTCTATCCGCGAAACAACTAAATAATATTTAATATTCTCCCTATTTCGGAATGAAAAAGCGTAAGCAGCTGGTCGTCGTTGGTCATCGCGATCGTTAGAAATCGTCGAATATGCGAGTACGGTGGATAAAAGGGCGCGGGGGTTTGTCGAACTCGGGAGTATTTTCGAAGGAGGCAGGCATGAAACAACCCCTACCGGCGGAATCGCGGGGGGGTATTGCGCTCGCGCAAGGCCAACGCGCGTGTCCGTGCTCCTCGTATAGTATGTATATACGAGGACGCGGGTAGAGCAGTAGCACCGGTACCACCACCGTCACCACCAGCCAGCATTCACCAGCAGTAGCCCCGTCGTGGCTAAAGGGGTTTCGGGATGCCGTACCGCGAACCAGTCTATCGCGGTGTGTCGTCGTGTTAACCGTCGTCCGCTTCGACGAGTAATTAACGACGGTGCAGGTGCTACGAGTTCCATTTCGCAAACATTGCATACTCGGTGGCCCTTTCTAGCCGAAAATAACGTTTCGAAACGGTCCGCCGACACCAGAGTCGAGAGATATCGGTGCGTGAAACGATCGTTCTTAACGTTCAACCGAGAGTCCGCTGAATTCCGTTTGTTCGCACACCGGCCCTATTCGGCCTACCCTACTTTCATTTATCCCCTATGATATTTCTCTTGGTTCGATTTAAGATCGATCACCGACTCCTCTTCCCTTATCGGCAACTCCGTGATCCGTTCTCTTTGAAACTGTGCCAGAGAATAAATAGAAATAAAGTTCGTCGAACGTTACGCTGTTTGTTCGCAACTGTATTTGCCGCGTTTAAACGTTCGCCGCGATTGTTCGATAATAACGACAAGATAGCGGAGGATTTACTAGAGGAAGTAAGCTATTTTATTTTCTGAGGGTGAAGCGAGACATCGGCAACCGAGGGTGGGCGAACGTGCCAAAGTGGCGTTCTTGTAATTGGAACAGGAACCTGTGTACCATGATCCCAAAGATCCGGCTGAATTCTAACCACTTACAAATCACAAATTTCACTAAAATTTCATTCGAAAATCGAGAATAAGAATAGATTACAAGTGGCTAAAAGGGAATAAATTTTAGCGTCCGAACAGCTAACAGCGTCCGTTGGCCGGCTTTAAATAAAAATAGTCTTGGTTGCTCTCTACCGTGGATTTATACGAAATTCGGTGGTCTGTAAATCGTTCCTGTGATTTATGACGATCATCAACGATCGTTTGCTCACCGACTGGCCGTAACGGAACTATAATATTTCCAGATCGATCGCGCACCGACGATCAGAGGTCCGGCACGGTTCGGCACTGTGCGGCACTGTGCGGCGCGACGCGGCGCGACGCGGAGTCGTGCGAACGATCGCATTTCCATCGCTATCGTGGCGTTGCGTGTGCCACACGCATGATTTTGCCAATAAATAACCAGATACATTTATCGAAGTCCGTTGCACGCGGTTTACGTTGATCGTTCGCCGTACCACGGAACCATTATCGTTATCGATTAATCAAACATAGTCGTGCAACGGAACCGGTGCGGAGAGGAAAAAAACAACAGTAACATTATTAATTGAAAAGAAAAAACAGAAACAGAAACGGAAACAGAAACGGAAACAGAAACAGCGAACAAACGTTTCTCGCACTAAATCATGCCGAGAAATATTATCGGAAAGCAACCGGTAAAGCGTGGAACGATATTCGTGAGCCGATAAGATACCGGTCACCGGAGGACAGTTGATCTCGATAGTTGAAATAAGCGAAAGTATCGCTCGACAACTTGTCGGAAAAAGATCCCTGAGAGAGCGATCCATGGTCCGAGGGTGATGAGACGAATGGTAGGAACCAGACCGAGCGATAAGACGTAGAGTCGCGTAAACGTTGGCTGTTTCAAACGCGACACCGTTTCAAACAAGCAATGCTATATGGAAAGATGGCAATTAATTACGAGACTAATTATTTTACACAGTTAAATCTGTTCAACGACCGATTAAATTCGAATTGGAATAGCATAAAATTGCCATCGTCGAGCTACTAAAAGTGAAACTGTGTCCACAGAGGGGTGGTTAACGAGAGAAGGGATCTACCATTCGAAGCGTTCTACCACCGCAGGGATCTTTTCCAAGTTGTCGAGCTATACATGTGGCAGTACATCGGGTTCAGTGCTGATGCTCATTTCGTCGGTTTTACGAAAGTCGAAGAAACCCGGAAGAAAATCCGTGCCCTGACCGTTAACGCAAAAACGCAAGTGGTTCGATCGATTCTAGTGCCGCGTGATCCGCAGTGAATTCTTTCACGGCGTTATTCTCATCGTTTTCGAAGAGTCGCCAGAGTGCAGTGCAATAAATGTTTCATAGACAGTCGTCGCGATACAGGTAATACCGAATCACCGAGGTTCGATCCGAGTGGAATCGAAGGTTGCTAGTGGATCCTCGACGATATGTCTCCGGAAATCCACGGACTTTCGTAAAAAAGTACGTATTATCTAGCTTTCTCTCTCGCGAACCTACACCGGGTTAACGTATCGGGGATTTAGAGCTTTGTAGCGGGAAAGAGTTATGGCCGATTTCTAGCTGCGCTTTTTAACAAACTTATTACGAACCTTCCTCGATAACCGGCGTAAATCAAAATTTCCAATTGCTCTCGGTATTTAACGGCAGTCTGTTTTATAATATCCTTGATTTATGGAAGTTGTGTATCTGTTAACGCGTAAGTACTTACGTGCGTTATCCTTGACGAAACGATCCAATTTTTCGACCAATCTCGAATAGTACGAGAACCGCTTCTTCGATTCGATCGTTCCAATCCTATGGATAATGCGTAAAAAAGTTTACTTTTAATCGGACATGTAATGGATTCGCGGTATGTATTTCTTTGGTGTTTTGTAAGGATTCCAAACTCTCCACGAGTGTTCTCTTTGAGTCCGTTCGACGCAAACATCAACCACTTCTCTCTCTCTCTCTCTCTCTCTCTCTCTCTCTCTCTCTCTCTCTATCTATCTATCTCTCTCTCTCTTTCGATGACTTCAAACGGTTCCTCGAGTGTGCTCGAGCTAAAGTGCTCTTGCAGTTACAAAGATATACGTTGCCGATCGGAAAGTGTACTCTCGCGGTATTCCCCTCGTTTCACGACAGTATATGCAAGCTTAACGGTTAAAGAACGCTCGAGCCTGCTGATGCACACTTTTGCGTTACAAAGAATGATTATATTCCCCGGAGGGAAGTTGTATGTACCTTCTATGCCGTGAATGAGATAACGGCGATGTGCAATCGTCGAGAAACGTTCGACGCCTACCCGATATACATATGTACATATGTATGTATGTATGTATGTATGTATGTATGTACGTACGTATGGAAGGATACGACGACGTTGATGGAAGGTCTTACGAGCCGAAAATTAAAACTTTCCATCATAGATACCTGTGAAACGTATCTGTCTTTCGACTAATTGCAAATCCCTTTCCATTTCATATACATATGTAATCTGTATTGTTTAACAACGCGACGCAATTATAATCTTCTACTCTAGCTGTTACGAGAAATGATTCCTGAATAATCATAGGCCGATGAAAAAGTTACGATACAACGTTGATAGATACAACGAAAGTTGTCTTGATTTAAGAAAAATAATTTGCCAGCAAACTTTTCCGACTTGCCCCATCGTTTCTGTTCGAGAATACACAAAGCTGGCGGTAAAGCACAACTTTCCTCGTTAAGAAACGTTGATCCGAATAAACCCATTCTTCGGTTGTTCACCGAATTCCAAAGAACCGTTCAACGAACCAACAGTCTTGGTCTTCTTCGTAGCTCTCTTATCTTTTTTTCTTTCGACAGCCGTCGTCGTTGGTTCCGTTCTTCATCGTCGTCGTCCTCGCCCGTTCTCGACTATTATCGAAATTGTCGCGATAGTTTCTATTTTATTCCTGGTAGGTTGCTCGTTCGTTGGTTCACAAGTTCAACGAAAACTATAATATTTTCAACTGTCTAGTTGAAGAAAGAGCTTTTAAAACGGCAAAGAAATTAACAAGACTGCCACCTACGGTTTAACCCACTTTTCTCGCGTTTGGTACTTTCAATCGACGCGATACCGTCCTTTGCTCTCTGCCCTCTCGTCGACCACCGTACCGTACCGGAATAGCTGAGATACGGAATTGCAGAGTCACGAGCCGTGTCACCTCGATTGACCCAAATAGGAAAATTACTGGACAGAAGAGTACAAAGTTCGCCGACGAAATGTCAGTCTCGAATAATTGTCGTTTCTCTATCTCTTTTCCTTTCCGTGCTTTCGTGACACGATCGACGCGACCGCGCGTCCGCGCGTCCGCGCGTCCGTGCGCCCGGGAGCCCGGGAGCCCGCGCGTATCGCATAAAAAGTGTTTCCGTTCGAACGTCAGCTTTGCCGGCAGTAAAATTGCGAACACGACTCGAAATCCTCGTAACATTTTTAACGAAGACCCGAACGTGCCCTGAAAAAGATTTACGAAGATCGTTAGACTGTTCTGAGTGAAAAACGAAAGTAACGGTGCAAATCAGGGAAATGTTTCGTTTTAATTTATCGAGCGGGTTCGAGAATTCTTTTCAAAATTGTTGGTAAAAGCGTTTCGACATAACGGCATTATTTCCGATAATCCGATAACTCGATTTTGAATTAACGATCAAGATTTTTAGTAGTTTCGCCAACGTGTTCTTTCCCGTTAGCAAACGACGATTTTAACCGAACGTTTTCGGCTCCATCTACGGAAACGTGATTTTCAGCCGACGATTGCAATTACTGGAATGTTTTTTAATTATTATCCTTGTTGCTCGCGAGCCACGAACGAATCGTAAAATTCTATATTTTTTTACAGGTTGCTGTACTATTCGGCTAGAAAATATCGATACGTGTCTACAACTTATGTACTTGTTAACGATTCCTCTTTTCGATTCTTTCCTATACGAGTATGTAGCTGGTGATTCTACTTGTATAATAAATATTAATCGAAAAGAACCAACAACGTATTTTCGAGATTATTTCATTTAAACGTTTCTCGGATACTGGTGGAATTTATTAGAATTGGTCCGAAACCACCCCCTTGAAGTTTTCGCTCGAAACGGCTATCTCGAAAACGGAAAGACATAGAAAAAAAATTGTTAATGGGCGAGGTTGATGGTTTCTTTCTTATGTACAATAACATGGTGTTGAAAAATTTAAAAAAAATACAATTTGTTTATACCAAAAAAAAAAAATTTATCAACTTAATTTTTCATTTTATTGAAATTTTCATAATGACAAAAAATGACGAGCATTTTATTCGAAATCCATTGGTATGCGATTTTTGAAAATTGCCTCCTACAGTTTTGCAGATTTTGATGATTTACATCTTGCGCGCACATCCATTATGGTAGATTATGTAGTAGCCGTTCTAACTTTGATTTTAATGAAGCATTGTAGGCTTGCACTAAATTATACAGATTATACAGATTACCAGATATGTTGCCACATAGAATCACCTTCGGAATGAGAATTCGGAAGCCCGAGTCGGCGTAACGATGCAAATGATATTCATATCCTTCGGCTCGTAACATTAATTACGATAAATAACTAGAAAACAGTGTAAAAAGATTAAATTTACTTTTATTAAATTGTTATTAAGATAATTAATCATCGTTGGATTATAATTAAAAATAATTCTGCAATGAATGACGGGCCGTCTGATATTAATCGCGAGATTGACGAGTATCATGACGAGTGCGTAGTAACCAATCCCTGTAAACGCGGCCGTGTCGTGTAAAAATAAAGGGAATGCGATGCCGGGGAAGCTAAGCTCGGCCAGACCGGGCCGAGATTCGTCAGAGGCGTGCAAGATTAAACAATTATTTCTCAACGATGCTCTCCGCGCGGAGTTATTTCGTTGTCTCGCGCGTACCAACGAGAAAAACAAAGCTACCGGGTAAATGGTTTACGAGAGTTTCCAGTGGACGAGAGGTATTCCCTGGTAAATTCGTGACGGTAATGTCTGGCGGGTGCGTGGATCGGGTGGAGGCAACCGACGGAAACGGAAACTTGGATGCAGAAACGAGAGTAGGAGGTCGCGGGGTTGGCGTCAGTGTGCGAGTACCGACGACCGATTTCCGGGATTTGTCTGACGTTTAATGAACGCTGGCAGACGTTTTGATTTACAGGACAGTTTGATTTCCAAGCGGAGCACAATAACCGCCAATTTGTAAATCGCCTCGTAAATCTGGACGCGCGGCAGCCCGTTGCAGTCGATGCGAGCCGACGCGACGCGACGCGACGCGACGCGACGCGACGCGACGCATCGGTGCTCTGCACCGACAGAGCTAACGGCTATTCGTCCAATTGGATTAAACAATCGGCGCCGTTAAAAGGGACGGCTTTCTGCGTATTACCGGTAAACAGACCCGTAAAAACGATACAATAATCGTTTACCGGCCGAACAAGCCGGCCAACTGAACCGGAACAATTTCGGGATTGGTTACTTTTTATGTACACGCGTTTCCGGCTCGTTTTACGCGTATGAATATTCCGCGAATATTTAGTATCGAGCCGGTGTTATCTTTTATTTTTTTAACAAAAGATCCTCGAAATTACACCGAACAACCTGCATATAGCTACATACCTATGTACGTGTACGTGTACGTGTACATATGTACATATTTCTCGAAAAAGAAAAAACATTCGAGGACATTATTTAAAGAACCGATCGAACTATTAACTACTCTGATTTTAAATATATTTATATATACATATGTACATACAACGACAACGCTAAACCGCGTAACGTTTCGGATAGTTTGTAAACGTCTCTCTGTTAATCGACAATCCATACTGTACGTATGTAGTAACGGATAATACGGAGTAACTTGTCATTTTCGACTTACGAGCTGGTCACAGGCTAGGAACGAGTTTAACGGGGGAAAAAGAAGAGAAGGGTAACGATACCGTCAGTGAACGGGCGTCGTGTCGTTAGTCGTTAACCGAGTTTACTAATTATGGGCTGAGCGCGATAGCTGAAGCCACCCGCGGTAATTTGAACGCCGTTGGATGTGTAAAACCGTGATGTAATAACAAGAGCCGCTTTGCCGAACTACCCGTGTGATATTACTTAAAAAATCTCCGTTAATTAACTCGTAAAACTTGTAATAACGCAATGAATCAAGTTCCAGGACTGCCGGCGCTGTTCTTAACACTCCAATGGTCTACGACGCTACCTCTATAAGCAAACAAAATCACCGCGACAATCTTACCCTTTCGAGCATCAAATTTTTAAATCAACTTTTAACGTTGTTGTCAATTTCTAGATAGAGAAGAACCCAACTGTACGTCATGGCACAACTAGGATTAAACTTATAATTAGTGGTGACGTCGCACAGTAAAAAGTCGAATCGCATTCCTATCCGCGTCCTTTTCAATTCTCTCTTTCCACAAATCATCTCCAAATCATTTCTTTCTCTTCATTTTTTTACTTTTCTTCTATCCTATTCACATTGATCGATCTCAGACTCTGGTTTCCACTCGCTACACGCTCTAGACGTTCACTGCACTCGAATACAGGCTATATCCTCTCGAGTGGTTGTACGTACGTTACAGCTCAATAAACTTGATTAACATTGGGTGTTCGTTAATTACAGGATCCCCCTATTACACTGACTTAGCCATGCGTTAATGATTTCACGGCCCTATGGATTCCCGATGTATCGACGAACCAACGATACGACTCGCGACGCGCGACGCGCGACGCGTCGCAATATGCATTCGGATGCGCGTCCTAGACTAGATGGATCTGTATTTACATATTCCTGTCATGTAGATTCTATACCTTAACACGGCCTCCCTAATGATGGATAGGTTCACTTATTAATTGCCAGCGACTCTTTTCATCGGAATGCATCGATCAGCGGTTCTCGTATATCGAAATTTAGAACACGTACCCTTGGAAACTTGAACATTTTCAAAAATAGAGTGTACGCGAATCGGTTCTTATTTATCATTTATAAACTTTTCGTATAATATTGTTGCAGATAAGCTTCGAGGCGTAACACGTGAAACGCACTAAAATGGCAAACAATCAGAGAAGAAGACGATACTTGACCATCAGTATTCTCCACATTCTTACCATCATGTGCCAAGGTGAGTTCTCAACGACGTTACCAACCATCAGACTAGGTTTCGATAAAAAAAATAATTTATTCAACACAATGAATAATTATTTGAAATTAACTGATACTTAAAGAATAAATAACGCAGAAACAAGCACACGCGAAAGATTGTTTTCTAAATAGCTCGAGGGGAAAAAGTAGGTAGACATGATCGAGAAAGGCTGATAAAACGCATTGTGTTAGTGTCGATGGCGTTAATCAATTTTCTATTCGACGTGCAATATCTTCCCGTAATGTCGGTTCTAGGTCGTTGAATGGAGAAAAGCCGATGCAGGAGGTCTTAAGATCGCGGGTACGGCCAAAGAAGCGGCGGGAATTTGTAATTATCGCTAAATAAGAAAGTAGCTTCTATCCCGTACCCTCTCCTTAACCTGCTCTTGAACGAACAAGATATATTAAAGCCGCGCGAGGTAAACTTTGGACCGCTTTACTGGCCATTTCCCAAGTTTTAAGCGATTCAACGCAACAGCGATCACCTTGAAACGAACATCTTACACACGTAGGTACGAAATAAACGCTGCAGGCAAGAGAAGAATGAGGGAGAACGGCTCTTTGAGCCGTTTTAAACGTCGCAGCCGCCATGCCGCGCCGCGCCGCGCCGCGCCGCGCCGCGCCATCCCACGCCATGACGCGCCCTCGCGTTTCGACTAATTAGCTAGTTTAAATCGAGTATGGATAATTCTTTGATCGAATTTACAGCACGATGGTTTTTTGTTTCCGAAGAAAATTCCGATCGATTGGTAAGTTTGGGGCGAGGTTGTTTCACCTTATTTGATAAGGTACATACAGTCCCGGGAACTTATTTCGTGAAACCGGAAGTTCAAACAGAAAATCTCGGCGAATATAAGGGGAAGACACGGTCGGAACATGGATATAAAACCCACAGACTGTGCACGCCGGCGTTCGTGAATGTCAAATCGGAAGCGAATGTGCCAGAATAAAGCATTCCTGAATTCGACGATACACACTGTTTGCTTTTCCAATATTCGCTTCGTATCGGTTCACCTGCGAAATGCCGCGCAGAACGGAATCGTGAACGTCTTCGTTCGACCGTACAATCTGAATGGATTCGCGATCTTTCGCAGTTTTTCACAAATCACCGGATGTCGATGCCGAACGTTTCGAAAAGTAATTATCTGTTATTTTTTTCCCGTCGGATTTCGCGAGCAAAAAAAGAAAAATAGGTCTTTGAAACAAGCAACATGGTGTCTGGAGTTTCCTGGTAAATACCGTAAGATATTAGCCGGTCAGCTTTTGGACACGTGGCGTGGACGTGGCCTTAGGTCAAAGGCGGCCGTGAGCCGTCAAAAGGGCTTTTATGTCGCGCCGCAATTCTTTGTGGATATGCCGATTTACCGGCGATGACCGAATGTACGGACGACCAACGGCAGAGAGTCTCGTCCAGACCCCCCGTTGAGGAAAGAGACCAATAAACGCATACCATATGTATAGTATATTTAAACTCTGCCTTCTGCACTTACCCTGAATCCCGGCCATCCCCTTACAATACAGTCGTGTATTTCGTAGCGGAACACGAATTCAAGTTCGTGTCCCTTCACGTGTCCCTAAGTGAATCCGTTTCCTCGTAAAAAGAATACGGAGTCTTCGTGTAGAAGATGAGTCAGGAAATATGGAATGTTTGTTGCTTCGATCCTTTATTTTACCCCATTTGTCGGAACATCCTCTTAGAAAGGGGAAGCACACGCTCGTACGAGACAGAAACAAGAAGAAATAGAAACGCAATTTCTATTTCTCTAGGCTATTGAATTGTTCACCGACGAGAATACACAAGTTGATGATGAATTTCATAAAATAGAAAACGAAGCAACTCTTGTTCCGCGATCGTCCTTCTGAGATACATATTACGCGAGGCAAAACGGCTGCGATCGACGATGAAAAATTTATAGTAGCCCCCAAGCATTCATAATTAATCAAAGGGATAGCGTGATCGGAACACTTTGCTTCGACTTTATTCTTCTAAAAGATGAATTCGAGTCACAATCTTCTAAAACGAACCTTAATTTATTACCATGGATAAACGTCGAAACTCGTTTGCTGGCAATTCAAAATATTATTTAACGCGGCAACGTAAAATACATAATCCTTGTGTATTATGTACCGGCACTAAAAGTCGATCGAATAACTATGTACATATGTATGTATGTATGTATATGAACGGTATTGTATACCTTTTCTCACGTTGTCGTAGAGTCCCATGGCACGGATAATACCACCGTGTCTGGATCTACATATACTGTATACGTATTTCGCTTGATTGCGCCAAGTATCGTCGCGGTTGAGAGAAAGTAAGAGAAAAGAAAATTCCATGTAGGAAGCGAAATAGAGGCAGGCCGTGCTTACGTCTTTCTTTCCGTCGCGTCGTTCCGGCGAATGGAAAAACTTTTGGTTATTCCCCTGGTCGACAGCGAGATCGTACACTCTCGATGCGGTGTGTTGTGCCAGGGGGAAAAGAGAAACAACCGGCGTAAAGGAGGGAAACGAAGAAATCGTTTGGAAGGGGTGTAGCTTACCTGGCGGGTGTTGGTTCGTTCGGTCGATTCTGAAAAGTTTCTTTTTTCTCGGGGCTCTTGGTATCTCCTTTTACTCTGTGACGTGCTGGTCGAGGGATAGCTTCGTTGGCTGCACGAACGCAACAACCATATTTAAGATGTTATCTTACGGCGAGCTTGGCCGTATTCAAAGTTAAGACATTAAATGCACATTAGTGCCGTCGCACGGTCGTGCTCGCTATTTAGATCGCAGATCGTTCTATGTATACATAGTATATTCACATAGTACTGGTACTACTTACACGATCCAACATTATTCTTTTCTCGCAAACGTCTTTGGTTAGCCCTTTTAACGTACGCGTAACAACGCGAGGGGCCGTACTTTCCTCCCTTCTCCTTAAAAAGTAATCGAAATTAAATATATGTAACTTGACATTTTGTTCGGAAAACGTTCCGTCTTGTTACTCGTTGTTAGCAGGAGGTTAATACGCACCGGTCTAATAGATACATACGTGGTACGTAATATATGCGATATCGTATAAGTATCGTAATTTAGGGGAGACCGCGTGGTTCTCGGGGTGTTATCGTTTCTCCTCACGTGCGTAAACACGTGTGTCGATACACCTGGGAAATGGGATCCACGACAGCTAGGTATGCGACGCCACACGTAACGCGAGAACGAGCAAACAGCACGATATGGGCGGTTACTCGAGTCGTAAATGGATATCGAGGCGTTCGAGAGACCACGTTGGCAAAGTCCGCGGATACTGGTAACAATTCCGACTAGATATCGTAATTACTTTTAAATTTAAATCGTTCGTTGTTCCGTTTATCCGTCAAGCAGATATACATGTATGTAAGAATCGAAACAGTACTGTACTTGCATTCTATGATACATTGGACGCTCGCTATCTATAATACTTGCTTTACAATTACTGTTCTTGGAAGGAATTCAAACGAGCAAGAGCAATCACTTTCACAGTTAATTGTAATTGGTTTTAAACATGACGACGCGTTTCTCTTAAGAGGTTATTTTTCCCCATAGCCGAACCGTATTCGCTCGAATATGTACATATATTTTTACGCAGGAGGAAGGCGCACGCGTACGATACATGTACACATGGAATTACATATGTATGTGAACTGACATGCATACTCGATGCAATAGTAACTTGCAGACGACATTTGGAACGCGTTGGTACTGCGCCCGAGAGGAAGAGAGGCTTTTGCAAACTCGATGACAGCGACAGTGGCTTCTCGCGGCCCGTTTAATGCCATTTTCGGGCTTCCCCGAAAAGAGGAATATTAAATTTTCGAACGGGAATCTCTGTATACGCGCGGCATCGTACATACATATGTACATATTCTTAGAGGCATCGAAAACGAAAACGATGACGGATGCTCCGTTGACCCAGTTTAAAAATATCGATAAAATTGGTAGACGAGTCATTTACCCGAATTCGATACCCGTAACTCGTAAGTTCCGTCAAGAACCGCGTATGTACTTTTTCCGTCTTACTTGAAACGTCGATAATATCTGTGTACCGTTTCGTCTGGCGGCCTGCCTTTTCGAGCAGAACACTTGGACGACTTGATTTCTTTCCTTTTCACATGCTGACTTTTCACAACGTTTCATTTGCGTAGAATTACACGGACGTTGACCAGGGAACGAGTCGTAAATTGCATTTAATCGTATTTCTTCGCAAACTTGTTACACCGTACTCGAGAAAGAGAATAATGTTGCCGAGTATGGATTTCGTGGTGACAGTTGCCTCTGGTAGCACGTAGTTGCTGTGTTGTTACTTGTATACATGCAAGTATGTAGATAGTAAAGGCAGAAGCATTGTAAAAACGTTCGACAGCATTACGAATTACATCGGAGGCGAGACACGCACGACGTAGTACGGTCATTCATCTTCCTCCGAATACGTGTGCCGTTGGCTTTTCTTGGCTTGCTCGGCCCGCGCGTGCAAATTCCGTCTGTTTATTCGAAAACGAGCGCCCGAACAACAGGCACAACATCGCGTCGCGTCGCGTCGCGTCGCGTCGCGTCGCGTCGCGTCGCGTCACGGTGTGTGACATTGACACACGAAATCGTAAACTCGCTCGTTCGCGCCATTATCGGCTCTTGTTAAACAATTTTACAGCTTTCGATACTCTGGCATTCCTAATACAGGACGTCACCAATCGATAAAGTTTCACGCTTGTAATGTACATTTGAAATCAAGTCAACGACGAAGAATTTGAATGGGGAAAGGTGCCGTGCAAACGATCCGACTGTTAGCTATGTTTTGTAAAATACGTGTACGCGCAGAAAACTAACTACGAATGAAATCGATATCGGACCTCCAGGTCCATCTCTTTTTTCAATGTTCGAATCTGGCTAGAAAATCTCTCGGTACAGTTATCACCGATTGCGGATGCTTGAAACGACGAGAAGGTCGGAGCAGGAAGCGCTTTA